CGGCAAATCGGCCCCATGAACAGGGGTCTCTAACAAAGCTGCTTCACAATAGACAGTGCCATAGCTGAACCCTGGGGGCATATCTGCCCTCCTTTAGGACAGCAGCAGAGTTGTCATAGATAAAACCGAGAAAGGGAAGGAGATCTGAGTTAGGGGAAGCACCCAGCAGTTGCAGTTGAGAGGCCTGGGTTCCACTCCTCCAGGGGTTCTCCTACTCCAGTAATTGTCTAGTGGACTAGGTGAGCATGCGCCTGAGTCTGTGGGCAGCAATGTAGACACGGGCAAGCTCCAAAATGCGACAGTGTGAGCAGAGAGCCTGGCACACTCAGAGCCAACTTCCTTCCAGCTGTAACTTTCTCTGGTACTAACTTCACTCTCCACAAAAACCTTTCCCGTTGGCAGAGGCACAGAAATGACCCCAAGAATCAAGTTTCTAACTTGCCTGAAATGGTGTGGCTTCTCACACCCCTCTGTCTACCCCAAATAATGGAATGTTCTGGGTGGCTGAACAAATGAATTTAGAGAGGAAGTGAATTGATACCATGAGCCTTGCTGGGCCCCCAGCAACAGAAGCTTCCTAGAAAGGCCACGGGTGGGGTAGGAACTTCTGTTGGTCCTGGAATAGAGAGCTGGGGAAACAAGAGAGGGGGCCTCAACACCCAGGCCAAGGTCCTTTGCAGGCCATCTGTCACCCTGCACAGTGTGCCGACGAGAGTGAGCATCTCCTGGGCAGTATATTCTTCCCTGCTCCATGGGGACATCAGATGACAGTCAGGATGGAGGCTCAGAATCTGGGGTAGCAGCAGGCCCCCCTGACTCGAGTGGTTCCTGTGCGGGGCCTGTCGGGCGTGCCCCAAGGAATCACGCAGACATCCTCAGTGCCAGGGACAGGCCGGCCCAGCCATGCCTTGTAGGTTTAGGACACTGTCATGTGATTTTCAAGGACCACAGTAGCTGGCTGAGGCCTTGGGTCCCTGCTGAGAGACGGGGGTGGGGGCGGGTAGTGAGGAGGAGGCAGAGGGAGGTTTTCCTGATTACTTGACAAACATGAGCCCAGCCCTGAGCTCCAGACAACATCAGATCACAGTAAATCTCAGGCCCATTTGCTTCCCTTCACCTCCTCTCTCTCCCGGTTCCCAATCTGTCTTCCCTTATCTGGAACTGATAATACAGGGCTCCAAGTGTGCCCTTTGTTCTGGAGGCGTGAGGATTCCAAGAAGCTCTCGGGAGCAAATGACTCCATCAAGGCTGAAAAGAGCCACCTTGTCCAGATGTGCACACTGGCTCCGCCACAGCTCACAAAGCGCTTTCTGTCTTTCCACAACCGCTGTGAGCACACGGCGTGGGCCTACGGGGCGAGGATTCCACTCCTGGATTCTCGTCTTCACCGACACATCGTCAGCCCCCGCTGGGATTCCAGCACAGAGAGCCAAACTCTGTCCTGTGCTGTGACCTCCACTCCATGGGACTCCTTGACAACCTCTGAGAACCCTCGTCAAGGTCCAAGGATCAGAATCCCTACCTCAGGGCGCTCACTTTGTCCCCCTGTTCTAAAAAAGAAGAGAGAGAGAGAGAGGGAGAGAGAGAGACTAAGGACCTGAGTAGCATTTATGTCTCCTACATAGGGACCTTGGACCAACAGAAGGAAGAGCAGGATTTGCTGATCATGCTGTGCTGCTTTCATTCCAAAGCGGCTCTAGACCCCCTGCTACTAGAGCCTAATGCTCCTCTCTGTCTAGGTCTTACCCGGTCTCCCACCCCAGTTAGGAGGCTCCCGGGCTACCCCCAAACATCTGGCTCACCTGCTCCTGCACCAGCGCCTTTGTTTGCGCAGTTACCTCCTTGAAGACTTTGCCGAAGCCTCTTATCTGTACCGCAGCCTAATTCCCTTCAAGACGCTCTCCCAGGCCACGGTGAGGGAGGTTGCAGAATGTGGAACTATTTGATGTCCTAAGAGCCCCCGGCAATGTGAAAATGACCAGCAGGCTCTGTTATGTCGCCGAGGTTAAATATCCACCGTGGAATCTGCAAATGGGTAAATACCATGCAGTGCACAGGGAGCCAAGAATCTGTTCACACATCTGCAAGTTAAGTGACAGACGGGGCCTTAGTTACACGGCAACACAGGTGGGCTGACAAAATACATTCTGGTGTTTCGTAAACCTACCGCGGCAGGGAGACTCATCGGAACAGCTCTCCTGTCCAGCAGAAAAGTCCACATGCAGAGGAGATAAATGAGAAGAGGTTGTGGGCTGTGGAACTTCACAGAAAGCCAGTTTCCTCTTAGAGATGGGAGCTAAGTTCAGAGTAACCTGAGGTACCCCAGGCCTCTCCAGCTGGGACAGGCAGATGAGGTTACATCAGGAACATTCCACTCCCTGCACCGCCTGCTCAGGATGCACTTCAGGCCCCAGCGGGGTCTCCAGGCCTATTTCTGGGAGCTCCAGGGACGTCTGTCAGTTTCTCGTGAACAAAACTCGTCCTGCCAAGCACCCACCGGGCTATACCAGACCTAGCTGTTTCTTGTCCACCCCCAGGGCAGTGGGGCGTGCGTGCTGATGTGTTGTGAAACCAAGTAGATCTCCCCACCTCACGTTTGACCCCCAGCGCCTTCCAGGACTGCAGTGAAAGAGCCCCCATGGCACCCAGGAAGGTCTGGACCAGGAGACAAACCTAAGCATGTGACACCACAGGTCATTCAGGATCATCCTCCTCCCCCAGTGACCAAGCTTCCATTACTGGGTGCAGTTGATCTTGCCCAACTGCCTCTTCCTGGGAGAATTCATACAATCATGGCTGGTCAAGTCTCCATGTTGGCCGGACCCATAAATTCCGGTTTGGGCTCAAGCAGAGTTCCCCATTTCAAAAAAAATTTAGACTTTTTCTTTCTTAAAAGTTCAGGTGATGCTTCTGGACTGCAGTCACAGAACATGGACAATTTCCATTGCAACATCAGGTGTTAATGATGTCCTGGGCTCATGCTTGTGCTGTTATAATATGCTGAGAATTAAATTAATTCAAATAATGTCTATAAAACAATCATTTTGAGAGTACAGACTTTTGTAAAAACTATTAAATGTCTAGAAAATTTTTATAAACAAAAACTGTACAAATTTTGGTACATTATCACACTGCTCTTTTCTCAAAGAGATGAGAAGAAATAACCCCAAATTCCTATAAACTCTAACCCTCGATGAGGCTCTGTAAGCCACACCTTCCCAAATGTACCCTGGCCATAAACACCCATAAAAAGAAAGAAGAGATAAAAATTCTCATTGGAGGAATTTATCACCTGCCTTCATGTCTATAAAAGTTCCATGGACACAAAATACAATCCCTGGAAACCACCTATATTTTTGCAAACAAATCATTTTGGCTAAGTGTTTGGAACCCAGAAACGGGTTCCTAGTTTGTGCAGCTATCTCAACACAAATGCACAGGAGCAAGAGATGAGTTCTCCAAAGCTGCTCCTGCAAGCGTCTGCAAACATTTGCACAAGACCCTTGGAGGGAGAAAATGCACTGTAGTGCAAATTCAGCTTTTTCAAATAGCACTCATATCAATTAGTACATCGCGTGCTCCACATCTCCGTGAGTGAATCCAGGTGAGTATTAACTGCCTTGCAAATACAAACACAGAAACTCAGGTAAGGTCAGCCCTGCTCAATAGATAAATCCCAGACATGAGACTGGCTGGGTCAGCTTGTCATAACAGGATCGCCTTGCATCCAAAGACAAAGTTTGTCTGCTTGGAGATTGGAGAGATTTCAGCATAGTTTGCTTTGGGGCCAACTCAGAGCATGGGTGGACCAATTCTAGCTGTCCTTGACAAATAGCAGCTGGGGTCCAGCCAGGAACTTCTCCCCCACCAACTCTGCTCCACAAGTCAAACTTTAAAGTGCAAGGGAAAAGAATCTTCCATTTCTCAGCAGGGTACACTCTGGCCTCCACTGTGACTTTGTAAATCTCCCAAGGGAAAAACATCTCAATACCAGGTTCAGGTGCCATGTGGAGCAGCCAGGTGGGATGGCTCAGAACTGTGCTGTGCTGGTTATTAAGCTAATTTTCTCTTGGCTTCAAAATCCATCCTCTACTTAGAGATGCTGGGGTTAGGATTCTGCAAAACACATTCCTGCTTTATGCTATGATAGTCTCTGCCCATAGGGGGCGCCAGCGGGAATCAGCAAGGCTGGAAGAGGAAGAAGGAACTGGCTCCTTGTTTGCTTCCTGTTTGCATTCTGCCCACCTTCGATCAGCTTCCTGTGCCTGTCAGGAAGGTTGCTGGCGTCCCTTAGCAGCCCTTTTTGTTCACCCAGGCAGTGGCAACTCCTTCCAGAAGAATTTGAGTCCACTTTCTGGTTTTTCTAACACTCACAGAAGCAGCCTCATGGGTGTTCCCTCAGAGACACCAGCCAAACAGCTCTCCTTCTCAGAGGTGGGGACACCCTCTCCCCAGGAACTGTCCTTGGAGCTCAGCGACACCAGCCCAACTGAGCATCGTCCCCACTGTCCCCTTCCAGAGTCTGAGATTCAGCCCACAGATCCCTTCTCCTACCATCTAACTTTTAATGAGTCCAGTTTCTTCCCCTCATCCCCCCAGCCTCGGGGATGATAACTGCTCCCTGCGGATGCTGCCTCCACTGATCCCTTTGTATTTTCTTTCTACCCTCTTCAATTTCCTGGTTAATAATTCTTTATATTAAGTTATCTCCAGTAAAATCACTGGTGTGATTTCTGTCTCCTGCCTGGACCGGAAGATTCACCCACATTTACGTCCTAAGCATCTACGGCTCAGACTAGTGCCAGGGACTGCCCAACCCCAGCAGACCACACGCTGGAAGGTGTGCAGCCACGGCCGCATCCCGATCTGGTTTCTCTTAGCCGACCTGTGCATGGAGGAGCAGAGAGGAGCAAGTTCAAATTTAAAGGACATAGCGACATTGGTGGCAAAGGAAGCTTATTTGCTGTACAGTCTTGGGGGATGGCTGCAGGGACCCCTTGCTAAACTTGTGAATGTTTCTCCTTGCTGGCCAGTAGCGAGCTGTATGGAAGCATCCTCATCATAGGCTTGTGGGAGAAGATGATCTTGTTATAGTTTGCACTGGGACATTCTCTGGAATCTGTGTGTATGTGTGTGGGTTCTGGGATCATGGCGGGATCCATGGCCGACACAGAGTAAGGACCCCACAACAATAGCTTGGTCTCTGACAATGCTTCCCCGTACACGTCATCAGAGGACTTGGACGACTTTCTCCTTTTCAGCTGAATGACGCTGGAAGGCTTGTTCTGCCTCCGGTGGCTTTCCTCGAGAGTTCGCGTGCATTCCAGTTCTCTCGTTTTGCTTTTCTCAGTGAGCCTTTGCACTATCGGGGAGGTATACGTGACATAGGCCGGCCAGGGCTCATGTTTTTCTAGCAGATTCAGGGGAAGTCCAATGTTCTCTGTGAATCCTACCAGCAAAGAGAAATGAAGGCCATTTAGAGGCACTCACGTGCGATAATTCAATTCTTCAAAGAGTGGGAGGGTATTGGAACCACATTTTGAAGTCTACCCCATTATGTACCCCTTGTATTCAGTGGGAATAAAATCCAGTCCAAAGCTGGGGACAGAATGACATTCTAGAGAGTATAGCAAGTCAAGAACAGCAAAATGCAAAGCCGCGGGAGACCTGGAGTCAAGCAGGTGTGGTTTCGAATATTTGCGAAACCTCAAAGTGTTTTACCCCTGAACTTCTATTTTTTTCACCAATAAAAATGGTTACTCTAAGGCTATTATAAGGACTAAATAAAGTAACATATTTTAAGGGCGTGGAACAGTACAGCTTAGAGCTTGAAAGCATGGCTCTGCACCTGACTGCTCCAAATTCCTACTCTGCCTACTTTGTAGCTGTGAACCTTTAGCAGGTTTCCTAACCCTTCTAAACTTCAGGCGCCTCATCTGTGAAATGATAATTAGAAGACCATGCTCGTAGAACTGTCCTGTGGATTACAGATAATTCATTTAATACTTCTAGCACAGTGCATGACATAGTTATCAGGAAAAGGTAACTATTAACCTTTCAGCTATGCGCTATTTCATTTAAACACCTTATAAGGTAGGAATTATCCCCAATTAACAGAGGATGAAACTGAGGCTGAGTAGCTTGCACAACTAACAAGTGGTGGGTTCAAACTCAAGCTTAATAGGCTCAAAAAAAAAAAAAAAAAAACCCTTAATCTCTTCATGACAGTTGCTGGCCAGACCTTTTGGGTGCTGGGGGAGAGAGGCTTCACTAGATATTCAACTCAGTTTACCAAGCAGCCTCTTCCTGATATGCAGATACCAAATCATGGGTGGGTCAATCCTTCCCTTCTTTCATTTGCAACTTCACTCTACCTAACAGAAATGCTACAAAATATCTCTCCTGCAGCTGCTATCTTCCCCGGTGTTCCCAAGTGGTGCACCCTTTCCCTAATTCTGTATTTCTTTGGTAATTTCTATAGGAGTTTGGGAGGGAGGGAAGTTAAAAGATGCATCCTGCCATCTCCAAATTGAATTCAGTAAAAAATGCTGGAAACGGGAATAATCAAGAGAAGATGCAGATTATACAATTATTCTCCGATGTCCAGGAGCCGGAAATTGTCTGGGATAGACCTGTCAGTAAAGCATGTGCTATGGAAGGGTTCCACCTCCCCGCAAGACTCTGCCTGAGGAAGGCAAGATGTAAGACAAAACCTCACTAGAAAATTCCCAGCAAGGCTTCCAAACACAGACTTGGCTGATCATCCTCCTCTCCTCAAAGCAAATGCAAAATGCAAAGATACCACAGCTTAGGGTATTTGCATGGATCTGGTAGAGGGGAAACTAAAGCTGCCTGGAGCAAAACTGAGGGAGGAGGAGTCTTCCATCTCCTGACCACGCTGTATTCTCCACTGGCACAAGAGTGACTGTCCACTGAGCCCTGCATTTTCCCACCCCAGCCCCCTACCCCGAAACATCCTCCAACTTTAGCCAGAACCACCACAGGAGCGTCTGTTGTTAACGCTCCCAACCCTACCTTCTTCTGTTTTTATCTTCCTGGCAGCAGTCCTCTCTTTCATTTTTAGAGGTTTCTTCACATCGAAGGTCCACATTCCTTTTGGAAAATAATACTTGTTAGCCAGAGAGTCCTCAAAGGGAACTGAGAAGAAAGTGATTAGCAGCCACCCTGGGGGTCCTAAGTCCTACACGTCTACATGAGGCTCAGAGGACTCCACCCCCGGGGAAGAGAACATTCCTTCCAGGGAGCTGGAGAGAGGCCAGGTGAGCCCCTCAAAGGCCTACAGCATGGCCTGGCCCAAGAGCCCCAGACTGGGCCAGCCTATTACTGATCAGCAAACACTGTCCTAAACCAAAAAGGGAAAGGAAAAGAAATTGGAGATTCGTAAGGTTGTTATTAACTACACAGAGACAGGAAATGGGTCCAGGAGATCTTTTCAATTCCTTTCCAGGTCTAAGATACATGAATTCATTATTTTACATACTCAGTTGACCCGTTCCTGTGTGAAACACTGCCCCGAGACACACAGTCCCCAGGTGTTCCACCCCTCTTTTCTCCTAATCAAGGAGCTATTGTGAAATGCAAGTGAGTGTGTCATTGACAGGGGCGACCTTAAATTCTACAATTTTTATAAAGTAGTCACAAATTTTGGCTTTTTATTATAACACACCTAACAAAGGACAGCATCCTGGAGATTCACTGACATTCATTTTTTAAAAAGGCTATTTTTTTGTCAAACCTATTTAGAGACAGGTCTTATGGAGCCCATTATAGATCTTAGTGGCAATCTTCCACAGCAAGGCATTTCTAGAAGAATTCACAATATCATTTTTGTGAGGCTAGGGAGGAAATACAGCTCAAATAGTTGTCTAACCTAGAAAGAATTTCATGTAATAATTTTTCTTTAATTGGAAGTGAAAATATCTTATTTCTCCTTCTAAGACCTACCATAGGGTCTCAGAATTTAAGATCATCCATTCCAAGTGCCCCTTAACCTAGAGCATGATATTCAGGTGGCCACCCAGCCTGCACCTGTCCACCTCCAATGGAAGGACTCTGGACTTGCCTTCTACATTTGCAGCATTGATAGAAATTTGTACTTCTCTCCATATGTAAAATAGGACTAATTAATCATGCCAGATGGTGGAAAAACGTTTTGAGCTGGCAACATTTGGGGGGTGGGATTTGGGATAATTCTTTTCATTGCTGCTTCTAAGTTTCTAGTTAATGAAGCCTCAGGGAAGTGCAGTTCTTAGTGACTCATTTGTTTCAACACCAGTGTGCATTTGCATAACTGGCCACCTCGCTCAGAGCCTCTTGCCATGACTGATCGACCAGGACAGCAGCCCTGTGTGGCCAATAGGATGATGCTACAGAATGGTGGGTCTTTCTCATACCTGCTAATCCAGGGACTGGGAAACTATAAAAAAAAAAAAGCCAAGGGAGGGCATGTTTGAGACTGCCTCAAAACTCACGGGGAGGCCTTGTTTGTTTGAAAAGAACAGGAGACAAATAGTTGACATTAAGTCTGAAGACAAGCTGTGGGCTTCTGTAACTTCCCTCAATTCCAACACAAAGGTTCCATTTTGTCTCCCTATAAATGAAATGCAAACCAGCAGTCTACAGACAGACATAGCATTGACGGGAGGGGGCATAACGTTGAAGTGGTTTTCTTGTTTCTCCTACAGACACAAAGCCCATGTTCAATCCACTGGGCTTCCAAGGCCAGCTCCCCTCAGCCCCCACCCAATCTATCATCCCACCGTTTCCAGAACCTAGTCTGGTAGACTGGCTTTGGCCTAGATAATTCAATTACCTGGAACCTGACACAACATTGTGTCTTTAATGATGTTCCTTAACTTCTTAGGACCTCAGTTATCACTTAGAAGGATGAGAATGAATTCCTGCCCTGCCTCTCTCAGAGAGACATAGTTGTTTTAATAAAATGTCTGGAAATTAAAGTGCTTCTCAACCAGTGGCTCCCACACTTTGCTGCACGTTGGAATTACTGGAGATCTTTAAAAAATACCAATGCACGCTCCCACTCCCAGCATTGTGGTTTGATTAGAGCACAGTGCAGCACAGGTATTAAAATTAAAAGCTTCCCAGGTGATAATGTGCAGCAAAGTTTGGGAACCGCTTTTCTAGAATCTGAACCAAAAACACTGAAAATTTATAAGGCATTATTATCAACTACTTGGAGACAGGAAATGGGTCCTGAAGATCTTGTCAGTCCCTTTGCAGTCCTTAGACACATGCTTTCATTCAAGAATTCCTGATTATATAATCAGTACTACATCTCTGGGACCTTTAAACATGTTAAAATGTCCATGGATCATTTCCACAACCACCACCTGCCAACACCAAAACTGTCTTAGAACAAATGAGCAGGAGAACCAGGGGCATAAAGCAGGGAGCTAAGGAAACTATGCCTGTGGACACGATTCTCATGCAAAGCTAATGATCTCATCCTCTGTGACCACAAGCTGCATCCTTATCTCAGGAAACCATCTTGCAAAAGGATTTCATGGGTTCCAGGCAGGACTGATGGATTAGTGCATTGGTGCAAATCAACCCCACTCAGACTCTTTGCCCTACTAATGCTGTGAAAGTGTTGTCATTTGCATAGTCCTGATGGACAGATTATCATCTTAATCCTTTGTTTCCTAAACTGTGTCCCACAGAATGCAAGACTCTCTCAAGATGTTAATAGGTATTACTTAAAGAAAAAAAAAAAACATGGCAAGAGCCACTGCATACAGCCATACAGATTGTTTAACCCAGGAGTTGCCATTCACATAATCTAAATTGTTATGCAAGATTGCAGGCCTGTCCTCTGTCAAGTTTGAAAAAAAAAATGCTGCCTTATACATATTCCCTTAGAACAGGATTTCTCAGAGCCTGTTATATGTCAAATTGCTCTGTAAGTCTCCAAAAGGGAGGCTGAATATGCAGCATCCCCTAATCTCATTTGACCAGGGAATCAATCATTCATTCACTCACTCATTCATTGGGTAAAGCATCTCAGAGAACTACAAACCAATGCAACGTTTGCGTGGATTCTGAAACAATGCCCTTCTCCTGCCCCTTTTGGAATTGCAAACCTCAGAGAATGTTCTGACATAAGAGGACAGAAGGACAGACTTGCTCAGTCAGGGTATAACTGGATCTTCAGTGACTCGCCTGCTCTGAAATGAGACTCAGCGTCCCACGAAACTGCTCCTACTCCAAAGAATAAGCTCCGTTGGAAACGAGACCTATTTCCCTCTGTTCAGCCTCACTCCTCTCCTCTCTGCTCCACTCCGCAGCCTCTTTCTCCGCTTGTCTCTCACCTCTCGCTTTTCTCCCTAAGCCATCTCGAAGCTCTTGCCGGTGCCCCAGAAGAGGAATCGCAATTTCTCAAACAGGAACCTGATGCAAAGTCTCATCTCACCTCTGCATTTCATCCTCCTCGACCTTCCATTTCCTCCCCCACCCTCCTTTTTTTGTTTTTGTGTTTTTTTCCTGTCCTCTGGCTACTCCTCAGTTATTTTTGGCCAAAGAGGAAGCTGCCACTAAGGCCAGGGAGTCTTGGAAAGCTTATCTCTGAAATACGAGAGACATGCCAGGGAACGAGGAACTCAGGGCAGGTGCCTTACCTGTGGGTCTCCATCCCCCGGGGAGCCGCGCACTCATGGCGCATGCGCGGACTCCCCGCGATTCAAACTGGGGGGAAGCAGAGCGCGCGTGCGACCGACTCCCCGTGAGCCCCGTTTCTCGTGGGCTTTCCCCGCTCCTTTACCCGGACCCCATGGGCGCCACGGAAGCTCTCGCCAGAGCCCGGGCCCCAGCTCTACCTAATGGGCTTCGGGCGGGGCAGGCAAGATAATCGTTTGCTGTGCCCTCAGCGACCCTGCTGGGAGCTCTGGGAATCCTAGAGCTGTTAAGAGGAAGGGGAAGCAGAGTGGGGAGGGGCAAGTCAGTCTTTGGGGAAAGTAGAGGCCTTCTCTCACCTTCTCCCTGTTCAACACTGCTGGCCCCCACCTCCTCCTCCCTGCTGCCCCTCCCCTAACAAACACATCCTCAAAGGGGAGGAGAAACAAGCCCGTTACTACATTGGCTTACTACACTCTTAAAAAGCCAAGTTCCAAAAAATAAAAAAAAATAAAAATTATATTAAAGTTTTCAATAGACAAAAATATAAATTCAGGTTGCATATGGTGGGTGGGTTGCTTCGGTAGTTGTCAGTATGTTCTTATTGAGACCATGCCTCTTTCTGGGGGAGGCAGCTATCTCTAACACATCTGGGGTGGGGAGGTGGGTGCCTAATCAGAATTCGAACACAGATTTGGGCATTATTGGTTCACCACTTTTGGTGAGTAGGAGGGGATAGACTGCTTCTCGATAATGTTTCTGTACTCTACATATTTTCTGTAAGTATTATCTGTGTACTTTGAGGGTGTTTTATTTTCCAACACTGAAAACAGAGTTCAAGTATCTGTGGCCATGCAACATTTATTTGTTCATTCATTCATGCACGCATGCATTCATTTTAAAAATCCATCTTGAGCTCCAAACATTACACTTCCAAGAGGGGCAGGTTTTGCGCTCACCCAGAGTCCACCATGGACTCTCCGCACACTGTACCTCTCGCTTTGAGGGTCTGCGCTTCTCTATGTCAAGGGGCCATGCAGATTTCCCATGCTGATACTAGATCAAACAAGACTAATCCATGCTATCGGTGTCATCAGAAACAAAAGCAGAGAGCTCGCCGTCTGTAGGCCAAAGCATGTTCCTTCCAGCAGCCACCCTGCAGACATGCGTAGAGCATGTCCGTGCACCAGGCACTGAGCAGTGGTTCAAGGAGCTCACAGCCATGAGGAAGGCAGACTATCAGTTTCCTAATTCAGCCTGTGCAGGGAGAGGTGTCAAGAAACAGGTTCGAGCAGAGAAAGTGGTCGTGCTGAGAATCAAAGGGCAGAGGAAAGGATAGGCAGTGGGCATGATTAACGCCCCCCTCGGTGTTTCCAAATCCTGAGTGAGGCGCTTCTCTGCTCAGGAGCCGAGTTCTGCATTCAGCATGCAGATAATCTAGGCTGTTTACAAACAGTGTGTTTTCTGCATATGAACTGCAAGGTTGAATTGGCTGAATAAACACTTTACAAATTCACTGCAGGAAGAAGCATTAGGCGTTGTTTACCTATTAGGTACAACCATAAATCTGAATTTTATATGTACCCAAGGAGTATTCAATCATAAATGTTAAGTTCCCACCTTAAGATGAAATATGAAGACCCGTTAGGCACAAAACACATGTGGCCGTATTATCTATAGATCAAGTTCAAAATTTAAAAGTGAAATTTCAAGCACAAGCCGAACAGGCATAATCAGAGGAGAGCTTTTCAACCTTTCCTCTCTGTGGACGTTTTTAGGGGTAGACTTGTACATTGAAAGGCTAGACAAGTAGGAAAGATACGGAGAAACAGGCAGCAAGAAATAGCCCTACAGCCCATACTCGGGAAACCAAACACGAAAGGCTTTAAGCAATTTGTGTGTAGAGACCCTCTCTTTGCCTGATAATTGGCTCTTAAGCAATGGGACCATGAAAGCGTGTGGCCCCACGGTGTCTAATCAATCAGAAAAAGGAAGTCCTGCTCTGCTGGAACAATAGGGACATTGTGAACCAGCGAACACATGGGAGAAACAGCCAGGCGTTTCCCAGGCCTGGGTCAATCGATGAGCCAGGCCACCCCTTTTAAAGTGCTCAAAGCACTGGGGTCCGGGCCAGTGTTTGTTTTGAAGAAGGTGACTTGCATTTGAGACTTTGCCTTGAAGAAAAGAATTAAAATAGCTGCTTTCTATATGATTCGATTATTCCATCGGCCTGTGGACAGCTTGTCCTCAGCAGCATGCAGTTGCCCCAACTCATGCCAGAATGTGAGAAAATACATGTATCACACACTGCACCCAAGTCTTGGCTCAAAGGCAACCCCCCCTTTTTTCGTAAGACTGCTTAACATAAGGTCTACCCTCTTACATTTTTAAAGTGCACAATACTGTGTTGTTAACCATAGACACAACGTTGTACCGCAGATCTCTAGAACTTATGCATCTGCATAACTGAAACTTTATACCCAAATCAGCAACTGCTCTCTTCCCCCTCCTCCCAGCCCTTGGCAACAATCATTCCATTCTCTGCGTCTGTGAGTTTGACTACTGTAGGTATCACATGTAAGTGGAATCATGCAGTACGTGTCCTCTGAGACTGGCTTATTTCACTGAGCGTAATGAATTTGACAATTGCTCCATGGCTCAGGGACTTCATTTGGAACCACTCTGATTTTTATCGAGCATGACAGTGCTGGACAGCCTCAGTCACTGCTGGGAGATGTCACACTGGTGGCCTCTTCACTAAATAGCTCACACACACTGTGCTTTTGGAGTCAATTGGTTTGCTTTCCACAGTTCTTTGGTTCCCTCAACAGTCGCCTAGTGTCTTGCCAAATGAGACTTCAGTTGGCTGGGGCACTTTGCACCTAGTTATTTGGAGAGGGCTGTTGGTGGCCTTTGCTGTGCTCCCACAGCTTGAGCTCTAGGCATCATGCTTTGAAAGTCTGGGGAGTGCTTTTCGTTGATCCCATTGCTGTTTCCTTGCTACCACACCGTAAAGCATCCAGGCTTTCCATGACTCTTACTAAATGTCATCAGATGGGGGTGCTTTTCAGGGGACTTTTGCTGCCCATAGCCAATCTTGGCCATGGGGAGCCAAGACTTGTAGCCAAATACATGTGTCACATATTGCACCCAACTCTTGGGTCACAGGTGACCCCCAAAATCTAGTCCCAGGAAAGCTTCCCAATCTCAGCTCTTACCACAACTCTCCAGCTACACACACAAACACACACACACACACACATGCATACATATTTGTGCCAGTGTACACATGCATACACATACACACATGTGCAAGTGTACACACCTGCAGGTGATGCTCTAAACACCCCATCATTGCCCACACTCTCATACCTGTACTCCCTAACACCTACTGTGCCTTTGCCCTGAATTCTCTTCCCACTCCCCACATTTCCTTCAAAAACAACCCAGAGCCTAGCTCAACCATGCAGAGAGAACTTTCGTCACCCTTCCAGGGAAGGAATCTGTCCTGCACTATTAGAAGAGGTAAAATTGACCCATTTTAAATAGCGTTTATCACGTTATGGTGAGAAAATGGTCAGGGAGCAAAAGTTGTGGGCTTTACTTGGAGCCTTGAGTAACTGATAAAATTGTATTCAAAATCGGAAAAGTTGAAGATAAAAAGCTGAAATTTGGATACACACACCCTCCCAAACATCCCTGAGACTTTCTGCCAAGAGCACTTTGTCAGATTCATCACCAGAGGACATGCCCTCTCTCCCCGTCCCCTGCCCACCTTTCAAGGCAGGGCTGTTTTTCTCCCACCTAATCCACAGGTTTCAGAGCCTGGAGGCAGGCACTTGTCCTCCTTATCCCCGCTGGCTGCCGTTCTCACCTACTTTCCTTCCTTCCTCCCTCCTCCTGTGAGCCATCAGGCCACCCTGCCTCCTCAGCCTCATAGTTGTTGCCTCTTTCGACCCCATCCTCTGCCGCTCGGTCCCTGACAACGTCAGCTCCTGGCACACAGCGGCTTCCCCTGCACCACCGCTCCTGGAGAAGTAACATCATGGCGGGGTTTGGGGGGAGGAGGGGCAGGACGTACTGAACAAAGAAGCTAGAGGAACCAAAGCCACCTCAGATGTTCGAGTTGGGCAATTTGATGACTGACGGTGCCTCTTCCTGAGATGGAAGAGACCAGAGAGGATCATTTTAGGGAGTGAGGTCAAGAGTTTATTTGAGCCATGAAAATGGCTGGATCACCAGGGCTTCACCATATCCTGAGTGATCCACGCAAACCTCCAGCCCAGCCTCCCTTGACCTGCTCACCTCCAGTCACCTGGTCCTCCTCCCAATCTCCACCTCCCCACCCCCGCAGTCAGCCCATGCTTTTATCATCCCCAGTGACTGTGGTACATCCACAGTCTCAGCTGCGTGCATCCCAATCTGACCGTCACCTCTTCCACCCCTCCAGCTAGCTCCACAAGCGGTTCCCCCGCAGTGAGCCCATCATTCCACCCCCTCAGTCTCCCCTTGGCGCCCTCACTTCTTGCTTTGTCCTGCTTAAAGCCCTGGTTTCTCATCAAAGTCCCTTGCAAACCACCTTAACCCCCTCACTGCGCTCCTGTGTGTCTACCAAACAAGTATTGGCATGACGAAGCCCCAAAACCAGTTAAAGCCAACTGCGGGGCTCCTCTGGGTGCCTCCCCCTCAGCAGCTAAACACGAGGTCGGGGGAGGAAAACAGGGCTGCCCTGCTTGTCTCACGTGAAAGGACAAGAACTAACATTTCTATGCTATGGGCTGTGTGGGGGGCACATTCTAAGCACTTTTCCTATAGTAACCAATTTAATCCTCATAAAAAATTGTGCTGTAGGCACCATTTTATCCCCATTTCACAGGCAAGGAAACTAGAGCCTGTAAGAGACAGTAAGAGCCCATCCAAGGTCACACAAAGATTACTCAATCATAAGAAACGACAGTGATCTAGCACCTCTTATACTTTCCTGGATTAAACTTAAGCCCATTATCCAAAGTGGGGCACCACAAGAGCAGAAGAACGGGATCCATTTGTACTCACCATCAAATTGGTACTAACTGATCAACACTAGGTTGATCACATGACAGAAATACTCTCTAGGGATTAGGGGGTTGGGGGGGCAAATCTACAACTAAAGGACACGGGGAGCACTAAAGGGAGGGAAGGGCATGCCTTTGGGAGAGGCAAAGACATAAAGTGTAACTACAATGTTTGTACCCTCACAAAAACTTGGAATAATAAATAAATAAATAAATAAAGATTGAGTGACAGAAACCAGGGTTTGCACCCGGGCAGTCTAGCTGTGGAACCCTTTTCTTTATCATTTCCTCTGTCTGCAAGCCAGTTGGCATGGGGCATGGCTGGGCAGTCCTAACACCTCCCCTCCTACTCTTCTCTTTCTCACTCCCACGTGGCTATTTCAACCTCCTCTTCACCTCCTCCTCCCTCCCGCTCTCAGAGGGTGCCCTTGCCTCACGGTCCCTTGAGAAAAATCCGAGAATTCATCAAGAACTCCCTCACCTCCCGCCATCACCCCACCCCCTCCCCGCATACTGCTGGGCAGGCTGCCTCCCCTCCCACCATGAGGACGAGGCGTCCTGTTCCTGCGGGAGAACACCTGTGCACCTGCGCCCCCGGAGCTCCCCTCCCACCCTCTCGGTCTCTGTTGAGGATTTCCGAACCCCCTCTCTTTTTCATCTCCACATGTCCCCAAGGTGACATCAACCAGTTCTGTGGCTTTACATCCCATCCATCTGGCAAATGTTCACTCTGGGCTGACCCCTTCCCCAAAGCCCAGACTTACATATCTGACTGCCATCTTGACATCTTCATTTGTATATCTAATAAGCTCCCGAATTTCCATGGCTCAAATAAACTCTTGACCTCACTCCCTAAAATGATCCTCTCTGGTCTCTTCCATCTCAGGAAGAGGCACCGTCAGTCATCAAATTGCCCAACTCGAACATCTGAGGTGGCTTTGGTTCCTCTAGCTTCTTTGTTCAGTACGTCCTGCCCCTCCTCCCCCCAAACCCCG